TAGAACCGCACGTGTAGGAACTCATCGAGAGAAAAAGAAACAATAAAAATTCGCGAATTCAATCGGAAGATACTTTTTACCATTGATTTCGAGTGCTTTGGCCCCACAGTTCGCAACATTCGCGGCGCCTCGATCGGTCGATCAAGCCGGAGGAGGGTTGGTTCGACGATACTTTTTTAGCCGCATTTACTCACGTGATCGAAGTGCTCTTTTTCTTCAAAGCATCACCCCATCGCGATGACGTTAATGCTACGCTAACGTAACAACGTCGTCGTCGTCGTCGTCGTCGTTGTCGTCGTCGGTCACCGTTGGTGAAGGCTCGCATGCACAACGTTTACGCTTGCCACCACGGTGTATCTACGGCTCGAATCGAAATTCCCCGCGAGGTTAATGAAGGAGGTCCGTCAGATAACGCTACACTTATTTTTAAAATGTTTGCCTTAATTGTCGCCGAGCTGCTGGCTCGCTACCGAGCCAAGCAGTTTTGCAAATTTTTACCGCTGCTTAAAATTAGAACAGGCGAGCCCTGAACGCGGCTAATACGCATTCTTTTACAGCAACGACGAGCTTGAATTTACTTAAATTCTGCACGATTTTTGCTACGATATAATTAAATAAATTAAATATATTATATATATATTTAAATATAAAAATAAATTAAATAATATATATATATATATATATATATATATTATATATTTAATTATATAAAAATACAAATAATATATGCTAATAATAATAATAATAAATAACTAATAATAAGTAATTCTATTTCGGATGAAGCAAATTAATAATCGCAAATTTTGCAAAATCGCGAATTTCATAATTATTCCACAGATTTTTCTCGAAACGCGTTGGCTGCACAGAAATAAGATAAAAATCGACGAAGTGAAAATAACGAGACTGTATAGAAATTCGCGCGAGAATAACTTTTCCTGTTTGAAAGATTAAACAGCTGCAACAATATCTAGCCGACGCGGTCGCAAAAACTTCGCAGAAGTTGCGAAGCGAATTAGCATGCTAGATGGAAGCTTCGAGACGATGCAATTGAAACACTTGGCTACTATTGTCCTCGTAATCTGAGGCAGACGGATCTACTTGACTGACCTACTTGGCCGATGCGAAACTACTTAACCCCTTGACGACCACTTCGCCCCGTCTTCTGCACAATAAGCGCGCCACGCGTGCCGATGATTTCAACAATAAGCAGGTGCGCACGAATTCTGCTAATTGCAAGAATTCTCGGTGATATATTTATAGTCGCCGCTTTGGTTAATCAACTGTTTCGGCTAATTTTTTCACGTCGAAGAAATCATTTTTTCCATCGCTCTTTGTTCGAGCGAATTAAGCGTTCTAAACGTACGTCGAATAATTCATTCCGAATGATACAATTAAAAGAATATTTTGAGAATAAAAGAATCATTTTTCGTCGATTGCTTACTAAAGTAATTGTTACTATTGATTAAATTTTAGAACAAATTTGACCGAGGAAAAATACAAAATTAACCGAGTGAACGTTCGTTTAAATGATTAGACCGCGTTCTAGCAATTAATCGATAGAAACAAAAGTATTAGTGTGCTAATTGCTGTGAACAAAAAATCAAGCGATCCTGCGCGGAGTCTCGGATTTTTTTAAAGCTATTGAATAATCCTATAATTAAACAATTGTATAATAAAATAATTGTATAATTGAATAATCGAATGTGTGGAAATCGAGTGATTAGAACGAATCATCATTAAAATTATTATCATTGAGACTCGGATGAACAGACGTGTACGAGGTACGCGAGGAAGAAAAAGAAATCTTAGCGAATCCGCAGAACAATAAAACAATCTTCCGTGAACGGGGCCTGGTTTCCACTTATTTTTAACATCCACTCTTTAGCAACAGCAATTTCCTATCTCGTCGCCGTGTAAATAGAGGGAATTGCGGAGGACTGCGTACTGTTTGATTGGTTGTCAAGATAGCCAAACTTCTTCGGCGCGGTTTGCGTCAACTTTACAGGAACGAAGAAAGTTCAAGGCGGAGCTCCGCCGGCACCAATTTAATAAAAACTTTCCGCAAGCCGATAATAAGCTCCGTCCGGTAACGAGGAAATTTTATTTCTCGTATTACTGCGGTCTAGCACGAAATCGGAAGATTCCCAGGCAATCCGGAATTCGAAAAGTGCACGAGGGGTGTATCTGTTCGTTTCGTTGAAAGCGCCTTTCGAAAGGCGACGAAACGGATCCGCTCGAAAGTTCGCGAGCACGTTCACTGAAATGTCTTCGATGTTCTCGCGCTGACACCGTCTCTTACGTGAATTAAGATTTCCCTTTTAGAGATAAGTGCGCGCTCAACGGCTCGAGCCAAAACGAGTCAAGGTTTGCAAAATTACGGGAAACCTGTTCCGTTCAACACACAAGACTGAGCTGTTCTACGATTTCATTTTGAAATTCCTTCGGGAATCTTTACGATCGCAATGCAATTATAAAACGTTTGCGAAAATCTATAATTGCACTTTAATTTTACAATAACCTGAGATGCGGTTTTAATAGTTCCAATATATTGCAAATATAAACTTAAATTGCAATGCAATTATAAAGCGTTTCCAAAAGTCTATGATTGCACTTTAATTTTACAATAACTTGAGATGCAGTATTAGTATTTCCGATATATTGCAAATATAAATTTAAATTAAAATCCAATTATGAAGTATTTCCAAAAGTCTATGATTGCACTTTAATTTTAAAATAACTCGAGATCCAGTTTTAGTACTTCCGATATATTGTAAATATAAACTTAAATTAAAATCCAATTATAAAGCGTTTCCAAAAATCTATGATTGCACTTTAATTTTAAAATAACTCGAGATCCAGTTTTAGTACTTCCGATATATTGTAAATATAAACTTAAATTAAAATCCAATTATAAAGCGTTTCCAAAAATCTATGATTGCACTTTAATTTTAAAATAACTCGAGATCCAGTTTTAGTACTTCCGATATATTGTAAATATAAACTTAAATTAAAATCCAATTATAAAGCGTTTCCAAAAATCTATGATTGCACTTTAATTTTAAAATAACTTGAGACACAATTTCAGTGTCTCCAATATACAGCAAATAAGCTATTAATTTTTAATACCAGACCGTCTTGTACCGAGTAAAAAGAGCGTCATTTTCAGAATACTGCGCGCACAGTTTAAAACAAATTATTTGTTATCTGCTAATCGAAACAGCAGATCGTCTCTTGAAGTTCTATTTTTCTCGGTATTGCTGTTTGTGTTGCACACTTGTTATTTCACATCCTTGAACCGTTTCTTAGAAACGTCAGGAAATTTATCATTCCGCGAAGCGACGTTTTTAATTGTACAGATGTAAATCTTCCTCCTGGCCAATGTGACTTTATTTCACGTGTGTGACAGAAACTATGAATATCATCGTAAGAGCCGTCAGCGTTTCCCTAATTCAGGGACATTAGTCACGCGTCGGAAGAGAAACACAAAACCCGTCGCATTCGGTTTGCAAAATTAGCCGAAGCTTGAAGTTTCGATCGGATCGCGTAGAAAATGCATTGCGTTGTTTGAGAAAAATATCGCGAAGAATTCTAAAAATGTAAAAACAGTTCACCATTCCACGTGCCATTTGTTTCGTTCAGAAAAAATAAAAAACGTATCTCTATTAAAACAAAATGCAGAAAACATAAAGAACGATAAATCATTTCTCAAAAAATGTTCCAAGACGAGTTGAGAACGGCTTCAGAAAACTTGTTCCCGTTCTTTCATTTGCTGCGTCCACTTCGCCATATTATTCTTTTCGTAACGTTTAATAACGTTTATACAATAAAATCCTACAGACACAAACGCCAAAATAAATAATTAAATAAAACGGAACATTTCGATTCGAACAATTACCATTTCTCCAAGAATAATCTCTGTCGTTTTCCTTTCGTTTACTCTCAAAATAAATGGAACTATGGAGATATTGGTACGACGATTAAAATCTAACAGAACATACAACAAAGTTTCCAAAAAAGAAATCGTAACGCAGCCGGGTTCCTCGTTGAAACGGGAAAGCAAGTTTACAGATAAACGATAAGAGAGAGTGACATGGATCAAGGCAGAATTGCATGCGCTAATATTTAAATAATTTTTATTGAATATCATAGGTAATATGAATTAGCAAAGATCATACCCACAGCGGCATTTTGTTTTTTAAATAAAGAACAATACTGCTCACAAAACACTGATCATATATACCTGTACACATTCTGTATGGCCTACACTCTCTCATCCCTCTGTCTGTTTCACAGCACCCCGCACCTCTCCCACCCACGCACTGACTTTCTCTCCCTCTCACTCTCTCTCTCTCAATCTTTCTTTCTCTCTCTCTCTCTCTCACTCGTTTGTTAATCACCGGCAACATCGTCTAATTAACACTTTATATGGTACCTTAGAGAGCACGCGCATTCGTGTATCGTACACCGGCCACGCATTGTCCACACACACACACACACACACACACACACACACGCATTACAAACCACAGCTGCACGCATATGCACCTAGAAGTTACACCTATAACGTGATTGTACCTAATAAGCATGAACTTTCCGCGAGGCGCGCCCTCGACTCAGATACGATTATAAATACATCCTGGAAACCATGGGGGTCCTCTACTTTCGTGAAGCTGCTCCAACGATAATTTACAACCCGCGGGGTTGTGCGCGGGGGAATGGTTTCGCAGAAGACTCCAGCTCGGTGCATCCCCGTGCGCCACGGCAGCCTTCGCGAATGGAAACAACGGCTGATCACCGGGCAGGCCTCCTTCGCCGATTCGTCTTACACCGGCCCAGAGTTGAGCGATCGATCGACGGTTCGATCGCGAAAGTGATCGTTTACAGACTGACTCTGCCTCTCTATATTCTCACAGCTTATTTGAACATTGAATTCGGAGAGACGCGCGGTCGCTCCCGGTTCGAAAGATTCGTCGTAGCAAAACTAAACTAGAAATCACAGCAACTTTTCTTTTAATTATATAATACATGATCTTGCTGAATTTCGCTCGCACCCTCCGTGCAACCCTCTTAGCCGCTCGCGGCTTCTATCTTGGAACATCGAATCGATAGATTGAACTTCTAGGATCTAAACTAAAAAGCGTCGCCCCGATCGTCGGCGACGCGCACATGCATTCCTCGTGCTACGTAGAACCGTCGATCGGTAATCGGATCACAGTGTGGGCCTCGACTCTGGGCCCGGCGCCGCCGTCCCGAATGATCAGTGGCAGTGAAATTCTACGGATCCTACGGAGCAAAACGTTTTTCGCCTTCGCAAACTCTCTTCCAACGGATCGGAGACCTCTCCTCGACACGTGTCTATGTACAAAATGAAGTTCGATTAGCGTAATAATATCGAGCGGGCGCGTGGCGACTGGGCCCCGGATGTTCTCGCGGCATTTCGCGACGAATTCGCGTTCGCAACGCTGTCATTGAATGCGCTGATCGCCGCGTCGCGACAGCCGATACGATTAATTAAATAGTAAGATATCGCTGTCCTCTTAACGGAGGCTACCGGAATACCAATTTCTAATTCGTCGCGCTTCTACGGGAGAGCGGCGGTCACAGACAAAATAAATAGATTCGATAGAATTCTCGCAACTTTGTTACAAGACGCACCACCACCCTTTCAAGATCACCGCGACGCGCGATTCTCGCAGCCGCTTGAAATTCCTAGAAAACGATTGTACGAATTTGATCCCTCGCAGAAACGCAGTTCTCACGACAAACACGAAACGAGACAGTAACGATGCATAAAGAGACATTTACGCTTTCAAGCATTAATGGAATATACAGCTGTCGGAAAATTATGGTATTTTCGGGGATTAAGAGGTTCGTCGGGTCATTCGGAGCAACTTTTTCCTCTGCGAAAATGCGATCCGAGGCTTCTTTCGCGAGTTATCGACGAAAAACGGTGACCAATGAGCTGCGGTGGGCGGCACTGAGCTCCGCCCGCCCACTGACTGGGCCGCCGCGCGCTCGCCTCTCGTTGGTCACCGTTTTTCGTCGATAACTCGCGAACGAAGCCTCGGATCGCATTTTCGCAAAGGAAAAAGTTGCTTCGAATGATCTCGGGAAGCCCTCGTTTCAAGGAAATGCCATAATTTTCGGATACCGTGTATAAATGAAAATACTTGACATACAAACACGCTGCATAACGTCTTAACAACGATTTTTACTTCGAGTCGACTCGAATCTACTAACTAGACTGCAGTTTCAATGCATTCACGAGAAAATCGAGCTCGTGCGAATCACAATGCCGGACACACCGAACGAATATATTAACAATGCCAACGTATTATCTTCGCACTAATAAAATTACTGAAGAACGGAATAACTTTCTACCGGGTGTGTCTACTTCTTGCAACTAGATCCGCGGTCCGCCAATCGCCTTTGAGTGCCAGAAATGATTCGCGCAGCCGCGTTTCGACGAAACAAGACCGGAGAAGATTGAGCAACGATGGATACAAATAACGTCGTACAGAAAAGTCGCGGTGAACGCGTCGAACGTCCTCGGTTCCGTGTCGACGACGTCGTTGCGGCAGAAACGAACGACACAACTTTTTAAGCTTCGATCACGCTTCCCGAACGTTCGAGATTCGCGGGATCCGGAGACGCTCGAAGATCCGCGGGCCCAGCTACGACGAATACAAGTATACCGCGGCGTCGGTTGGTCTGAACATTAAAGTATCGTCGCTAATTACGAAGGGGAAGCCTAACCGCGAATCGTCCAGCCACCGCGGACGAACGTGCCGGCCGCGAGAGGCGCGGCTTCGCGGCCGAGCAAGGTCCTCGGACAAAGCAAAACCGAAGCAAACGCTCTGCGCAAGGGATGAGACCGCGGCGGTTCGTCGACGCTTCGCCACCGTGGAGCCGTTCGTAAGGGTCGCGTGTCCGCAGAGCGACCATGGCGGCACACGAAGGGCACACCTTTCCGGGGGAGGAGGGGGGCGAGAGTCTACTTCCGTTCGGGAAAGGAGCTCCTAATCGAAGGGTCCGAAAAGTCGACATTACTATACACATCCTCTTATCCCGATAGAAATCTTAAATATATCTTGGTAAGGCAGTGCCAGCACGGTGGTACATGTACGGTGGTGGAGGGGGGCCGGAGTAGTGCCTCTGATGCTGATGGGGCAGCGAGGACCTGTGCGAGCCCATGGTGCCGCCGGACGGCGACACGTGCTGAAGCAGGTGGGACGTTCCATCCCCTAAGTCCAGCTCCAGCTCCTGCTCCTCGATCAGCTGCAACGCGCCGAAGGAAGCCGTCGCCATCGCCACGTCCGGCATCACGCCGGACAGCTGGCCGTCGCTGCACGAGTTGCTCTCTTGTTGCTGGAACGGACAATCATTTTAACAAGCTTCGACCAAAGCTTTCAAACCACGAACGTGCTCTGTCTTCCATTCTGTTAACTGGATCGCCTTCGTTCTTTCAAGCGGGGGCTATTCGAATATATTTTCCTGCGCCATAAGCTCCTTCATCATCACCATCATCGTCGCATCAGGCTCTTTATTTTTCTGAATTTTCTACAGTTTTCCGTGCAACGCGACTTCGAACCGCAAAAATAAAAATGCTCGCGACAAGCAGCCGGCGGATGTTTGTGCAAAATGTTACTCCCGACAAGTGGGTAATTTTGGAAACTGGAGTTTTTCTAATGTTAAATTTTGTTCTCGGCCCTGTCGTTTTCGTCGAGATAGAAAATATAACATGGAAATGTTCGCTTTTCGGCACCGATATACCATTTTGTATTCTTCAAAAATGGAACCGACGAAAGTTCTCGAGGAATATTGTATTCTTAGAAATATCTCTCAGTCATATTTTCTCGTTAGATCAATGAAATCTCCGGAATGAAAAAGGCTCCGAATCCTTACGTCTGCGTTCAAGGAATATCTTCTATTTATCAGATCTTTGTCCCCTTCGGAGCAAAGGGGGGGAGAAGAACTGCAGGCTCGTAGATTTAGCTCGAGCTTTATACAGCCGCAGAGACGACAGACTGAAAAGGAAGTTAATTAACAGAAATCCTGTGATAAAGCGCGGACTTTAGTTTTCTTTTCATCGGCGCGTTTTCTTTCTCGACAATACCAAAAGCTGCGGGAATAAATTCGATCAACCGTGAAGCTTGCTTTCGCGTTCTCCGCGGCTTGTGCACAGTCGTTGCAGTTGGAAATAAAGAAAGAACGACAATTTCGATTTGTTGTCTAAGCTCTGTGGAAGTTATATTGCTATATTGTGTTGTTACCGTCGAAGAGCGAAGACAAAGAAGAAACGTCGGAAGATATTCTACGAAATATAATTCAACAAAAATACGATGCAGTTTTCACAGAATTGTGAAATTTCGAAAGCTTCGCGAATTATATAAAAATACTCAATGACGGATTCACGTGTCGCCGAATTAATTGCTTAAGAAGAGAAGAATAGCGAGAAATGTCTGATTCAACAATTTGCAATATTAACCCGAGTTATCAATACGTCGAATAGTAATTAAAAAATGACGTCCGCGAACGTTCGGAGCGACGCGAAGCTAAAAATCGAGCATCGTGCCACACATTCCATCTTCTATCTTTTTATCGTCGCCGTGAACGACAGAAGATAAGGTCCCACTGAATTTTCATTTTCTCGAATTACCTTCGAAGATAATCATTTACATACAATGCAACGGCGGCTCATAAATAATTCCCATTACATTGCTGCGAAGCCTGTTTTTTATAACTAACGCCGGCTGTCACTGGCGATTGTTCAAGGATAAAAAGATATCTTTTTTTAATGCCCGGTCTAAAATTGGATCGCGGTGCTACCCTAACTCAAACAAATTATTACAGAAGTGGCCGGTAGAATTGAGATCGGGCCGGCGACGCGTGTCCCTGCCGTGGGTTCTGGAAACGTTCAATCGTGCATAGAGGCCATCGATGATGCTTCGGACTATGCTATAGATCCGTTGTCGGAACAGTTTTAAACGCGAATAGGTGAATAAAAATTGCGATTTTTATGCGATCTCGATTATCTTGTCTCCAATTTTCTTTCGGCAAATGAAAGCTGTTTATACAAATTATTTTTTCTAACGCGAACGATTTCGTTCGTTCAATGCTAAGCACGCTTAATTAGTCCAATAGTAAGCAACGCTAAATTAAGTCGGTGTTTTACGTAACGTTTAATTAATTCAATCGTAAGAATCGTTTAGTTAATTCAGTGATAAGCAACAGTTAATTAATTCAATGATAAGGAATATTTAATTAACTCAATGGTAGGCGACATTTGATTAATTCAATGCTAAGCAACACTAAATTAATTCAATGCTAAGCAACATTTAATTAATTCAATGCTAAGCAACATTTAATCAATTCAATGCTAAGCAACATTGAATTAATTCAATGCTAAGCAACATAAAATTAATTCAATGCTAAGCAACAGTTAATCAATTCAATGCTAAGCAACACTGAATTAATTCAATGCTAAGCAACATAAAATTAATTCAATGCTAAGCAACAGTTAATCAATTCAATGCTAAGCAACACTGAATTAATTCAATGCTAAGCAACATAAAATTAATTCAATGCTAAGCAACAGTTAATCAATTCAATGCTAAGCAACATTAAATTAATTCAGTGGTAAGCAACGTTATAATTAATTCCCAGAAAAGCAAAGAATTATCCTTTCCGGAAACAGCGACGCTCGGTTCCAGGCGTTCCGGTCCGAACGAAAAGTTTTTGCGTCGGCGGCGGACGGAAAAAGGCCAAGAAGCAATCTGCTGCGAGGCGGAAAGATTTCTGCCGTTGATAATGGAAACGAACGACCCCCCCGCTCGCAATTTTCTCGTAATTTCGAATCAGTTAGGTTTCTTCGCGATCCCGGAATTATGGTGTCCAATTAACGGGAACGGTTCCCCGGGCGCGTTTCTTACCTCGGCAAGAAGTCTGCAGCTTTCACCCTCGGTCACTATAGCTGGAAGCTCGTGTCTGTGCGCGCAGGACGAAGCCGGCCTAGGGAACGTCATGTTCCTTCCGTAGCACAATGGCGGTGCTGTTCTAGCGTTGATGCCCATGCCGGGCGAATCCATGTCCTCGATGTCAGTCAGCCTCTCGTTCTGCTCCTTCACGTTGTACGCGGCCGTGTTCTGCGAAACAAAACCGGACTGTTTCTCTTACTGCTTTGCCACCGTTCGTTCTCCCTCGCCGTTTCACCCTTTCTTTCTTTCTTATCGTTTCTTTTCGACATTCTCTTTTTTCAATCTTTTCATTTTCTTTTCTCAACATTTCTTTCGGGCATTTTCCTTTTTTCGTTTAAACAGCGGTCGATTTTTCTAACACGCCTCTCAACGTAGAGAAGAAAACTAATTTTTATAACGACTTATGATCATTTATAATGATCTGTAATAATTTCGAATTATTCTTGTAAATTCGCTCGTTCGAACGGAGATCGATTTTCATAGCCGAACGTGGAAGAATATTTATAAAAATCAGCCGACGCATTTCGTGCACTTAAGGGATGATTTTGATGAATTTAACGGATGCGTAAGATTTTGATGCATTTATTTGATGCATTATGCGCGCGGTTTCGTGCAAATTAGCGGCAAGAATGCGGGTAATTTAATCGTCGAAACTGTCGGAAGAGGAAACAAATTCCCCTTTAAGTTCGAGCACCTTGCGCCATTAATTTGGAGAATTTCTCCTGAAAGCTCGTGGTTCTCCGTGTACCTATCGATTAGGCTAGACTTTTTCCGCTTCCTGCTTCGTCCGAACGATTGTATAGACTCTGCGTGTGTGTGTGTGTGTGTGTGTGTGTGTGTGTGTGTGTGCGTGTGCGTGTGTGTGTGTGACTTTGTGGGTGTTGGTTTGCAGTTGTAAGACCGTTTGCACGCCCACGCCGGAACGGGACGAACATGCCGTTCTATGCGCAGTCTTGCGCTTTTGTTCACCCACGGGATCGAAGATTGTAAAATTCTGCATTCCCATTTCCCACCCGAATATCCAGTTATCCGTTATCCATCTTCGTCCGCGACCTTTGCCCTTTTCCCGTGCTTTTTTCCTTTTTTTTTTTTTACGGCGACCGTGCAAAACCGCCGGGCGCAACCGCGACGCGAAAAGCTGATTACACGTTCGACGTAATTAGAACGAAGACGAAAATATCGAGAATTCGCGAATTCGTCGATCAGGGAAATGCAGATTACTCTCCCGATGCAACGTAATTTCGAGACGAACCGATGGAAGAGAATCGTCGAGCGTTTTTAAGAGACACGGCGCGTCCTCGTTGCAGAGCGCAGCAATAAAATCCGACGGTGGAAACGTCGTTTTGAAAAGCCCCGGCGATTAATGCTGATCCTAGCAGTCGACGTAGTTTTGTTGAACAATAGACGATGTCTAGATCGCGCGGATTTTATGCATTTCTAACGAGAACGGCTGAACGAAGTTAAGAACGAGCGACTGAAACGGTGGAAAAAACACGGTGGAAAAATATTTTGTACGCCTTGTTCGATAAATATTTCATTACAAAAAAGAACGAAGACATTTAGTATGTTTTATTCGATAACTACAGAGCTAATTGTGCCCGAAAAAAGACCGAAAGCACGGCGATTGACCACCTCGAATGGAATAAAAATGAAAATCGACGTTTTAAATTTTCGTGAAGCTTGAAGGTTTATTTTTTCTTGTAACTCCAAGTAACAGCAGAACTAAGAAACGATGTTTCAATCGTTCCACAGTAAATTAACCCCTCTATCGTCTGAAAAAAACAAACCTTGGACCAGTTGGTCCAGTTCGGAACACGTTATCGCGTTTCAAGATGTCTCGTTATCTCGTCATTATATTTTCCTGATCGATCGCAGCTCGACGGAAACGGCGGGAAACAGCTGCGAGACTCTGAGACGAAGAGAACAGACTCTGTTTTTTGATGAAAATACTGAGCGCGAGGAACGCTGTGGCACACGGCTCGCGACAGCGTCGTTCCCATCTCTAGCCACGGCCGAGATGCGTGGGAGTGCAAGTGCATCCCTCTCGTATCGGGCCCGCGACCGCGACGCGTGTCGTGTCCGCGCTCTGAAATCCGTATCGGAGCTGAAAGATGGAGATACCATCAATGAGCGTCGAAAAGAGGGAGAATAGGGGTCAAAGTCAAACGGTAACGAAGCTCCGCTCAGTTGTCACGGCTTCGCTGCGCCAGCTAGCCGCGTCGAGTGCGTTCGACTCTCTGCGATTACGATTCCGATTGTCTGTGGAACGATTACGAGCCATCGAAGAAACAGGTATCATTCCGCCGAACTATGACATAAACGCGAGGAAAGTTTGCGGGGCCGGCACCGCGAAGCACCGAAATCGTCGCGATTTCCTGGATTCAGATAAATATTTGGGGAATTTTAAGTTGGAAAAATTGTTGACGAAACGCTATTGTTTTGTAGGAGATGATACCGCGAGATTCAGTCGATGTCATTGAGTCTGACATGAGTATTGAAAAGCGTTGTTTATGTCGTGGTCGAGTAAATTATTCAATGAAGTAGCCTTTTCTTCAGATGTATTGGGAATGATTGTTTGAAATAGTATTTTCTTAGGATGCTGTGGAAATAATTGTTCGAGAGGTAGTATTTCTCTTCAGATGCAGTGGAGATAATTGTTTGAAGCAGTATTTTCTTAAGATATGCTGGAAATGATTAATTGAAGGTAGCAGTTTCCTAGAATGTATTGGAAATAATTATTTGTAGTAGCATTTTCTTAGGATGTACTGGAAACTATTATTTGAAGCAACACTTTCTTAGGATGTACTGGGAATAATTGTCGGAACTAGCATTTTCTTAAGATATACTGGAAACAATTATTTCAAGTAGCATTTTCTTAAGATATACTTGAAACAATTATTTGAAGTAGCACTTTCTTAGGATGTACTGGAAATAATTATTTGAAGTAGCATTTTCTTAGGATGTACTGGAAATAATTACTTGAAGCAGCATTTTCTTAGGAAGTACTGGAAATTAATTATTTGAAGCAGAATTTTCTTAGGGAGTACTGGAAATAATTATTTGAAGCAGCATTTTCTTAGGAAGTACTGGAAATTAATTATTTGAAGCAGAATTTTCTTAGGGAATACTGGAAATAATTACTTGAAGCAGCATTTTCTTAGGAAGTACTGGAAATCAATTATTTGAAGCAGAATTTTTTTAGGAAGTACTGGAAATTAATTACTTGAAGCAGCATTTTCTTAGGAAGTATTGGAAATAATTACTTGAAATAGCATTTTCTTTGGATGTGCTTGAAATTATTATTTAAAGTTAGCATTTTCACGAGACGTTCTGCAAATAATTAATTGAAAGCAGCATTTCCCCACGATGTACTGGAAATAAAATAAAAAATAAACCCAAAGAAAAAATACAAGCAGATATTGTTTTAAAAAACAATCTTGCTTATTAGATACTTGCAAAATCAGTATATCAATTTATAGTTCACTTAATACAGAAATAAGATAACAATTAAAAATGAAGCTGATATGTACCAACGCAGTTGAGAAAAATGGTATTTGCAAATATGTTTTCGTTGAAATATTTTTACCGAGGTCCGCGCGATTAATCGTCGCGATTGCCGCTCGTTTGTCCCTTTTTAGGGGATTCTCCGGTTACGCAAATAATCATTGCGAATTTTTTTCTCTGAGAATTGTGCGCGATAACGAAACAAAATCTCTTGTGATCTCTGGAGGCATCCTTCAGCTGTGAGAAAACACGTTTCTTCAGTCGCGTTTGTTTCTCTATTCGATAATTGTTAACAATTACATCTCGTTGACATGTTGTGTAGCTTTCTTAAAGTTCTTTTATCATGTCGTGCCTTCGTGACAACGTTAATTTAACACTGACAGCCTTAAATTATTTGAATTTTTCTACCAGTTCAACTAACGTCTACTCGATTTTCCTGCAAATGCATGTACAATTACATACAAGTACATTAGTTATTGTAATGTAGTATTCGTACAATTTTAGTTATTACAGTTAAATTGGTTATTATAATTATTATAAATTACCAAGAAATTAGCATAAATAACTGACGGCTTATAATCGTTAATAATTAATCAGATTACTTTTTACACGATTACTTTGCTATGCTTGTGCAAAAAATAAGTCTGCATTTTCTTCACCTGTTACACGAGAATCCCAGTTTAAACAATCGCTTAGCAGACCCTGTGCGACGACAAGCATGTTCGATCGAACACGATCCGCAAGATTGACTGTCAGTTTGCATACCGAGGGAACGGATTTTACACAGTTTGCGAAATCCCGAGATGAACGAGTTGCTCGCGTATTGGTTCCCGTTATTATCGTAGCTGGAATTGCACCGATGCGTTTACTTGACTGTTTACTGTATTTCGAACGAGATTTAAATAGAATTATTGAGGTCTCTCGACGCGTCGTCGTGAGATAATAGTCATTTTCTTGTCGATTCCGCAGCGTTATCCGCGTTCCTATTCTGTTCTCCTCAATTAAATTGTACTGGCTAATAACGTTTCCAATTAAAGATTTCTCAATGTTACGATATAAAGATATTTTCTGGATTTTTCATATCATTTAATAAACGTTTATTGCAAGTGGAGATATTATTAGCAACAAAGAATGAAGCTTTAAAGTAATAGGATCACATGTTAGAATTCAATATTAAATTCTATATTAGAATATTGAAGTTCAATATTATTTCCATTTTTTTGGAATATTAAACTTCAATATTAGAATATTGAACTTCAA